GGAACCCTATGTGAATTGGAGCTCATGAGCACTCCCATAAAGTGATGCGAGGTCTCAGTCAGGACTCTACCTGTAACACAGTCCTAAAAATGGCTTTTCACACATTCTCAAAGCATCCCTAATGTATGTAGCTCCAATACATTTCCTGATGCATTCTTGCACCTAATTGTGAGAAGCATGATTCAATAAACTGTATCAGAACCATGGAAGTAATTTGCTTCAGACAGGAGAGAAATCACTATTCCACCGTACTATTTATATAAATAACAAGACTTGACCAAGCCAATTGTCACAAACAGCATAATACTGGAATCTAATTCCAGGTAACTCCAGCATGCACACCCTGCTATTGAGTCAGGAGCACCTTGTTTCAGCTTAGTTTCATCCACTCTGAAACCTGATTTTACTTGAAGAATGAGGATGCCCTGCAGAGGAACTATCCAGAACAGACACTGCAATTTGAAGCCACTGTCTCAACCTGTTCAAGAGTGTATGAGACTTTACTCTAAATAGAAATGCTTTTTCTGACAGTTCTTCTAGCTGGAAGTACTTCCTATACAAAGGCTTGATACCTCCCTAGACCAGCCTGTTTTCCTTCTATTCTGGACAGTGTGGAGAGAAATGCAACACACTACCAGGGCTGGATGAGTACTGCCTTCTAGTCCCAGGTATGTCCACACAAGAGAGAACGCTCAGCAGAAGCACAAAAGCCACAACAAAGAGCAGGTCACTGAGAAGCTGAGGAGCAGAGAAATAAATTTCTCTCCTCTACCTAGGAGCTATTTCTAGAACAGGCTGTCCAGAGGGGTTGTGTAGTGTCCACCTCGGAAACATTGAGAACCCAACTGGACAGAGCAGTGAGCAACCTGTTTTGAGCAGCTCTCCAGAGGTCCCTTCCAACTACAACTGTTGTGTGGTTCTGTGATCCACATGCAGACCCCTCTGTCCAGGCAGAGGTCCCTGACTACACCAGCTACAGAAACATTCACCCTGACTGCAAGCAAACTCCTCCTTCTGCTAATGCTGTTGAGGAAAGCTTGTGTCTTCCCTGACCTTGAAGCTATGTTATCTGCTTTGGCTGCGAGAAGGCGATAATAGCTCCTGACAATGGCAAGAGTCAGCTCTGAGCCGCTGGAACAGGAAATCCCATTTCTCAAGCCCTTCAAAGCCTGCCAGCCTGCTTGGCACAGTTTCTCTCAGCAGCACTCAGTGAGATTACAGCACTAAAAATAACCCACACAGTAAGTTGTGCATTTAGAAGAAGAAAGGACTTGCCCTTAATGTGGGTTTCCCTTCCACTTGTGGCCTCAAGTATCCCCAGACAGTTGAACTGCTAGGGTTTTGTTCTCCAAATTAAACAGGAGCTGCAGCTGTTGAAGTGGTTTCAAATCAAATAAGAAGATTAAAGGGTACAACAAAGAGCTAAGATACTTTCCAGTTTTTAAACAAGTGTCCCTCTCCCCTCCCTGTTGTTTTCTATAATAAGAAACTCGGAGCTAAATCTGCTTCCTTACCAAAACACTCTGCCCTTCTATCATGAGCTCATGTACAGTTGGTTGTATACAGATGAAATGAAGCAAAGGTAGGTGGACCAGTCCTGCAGACTTCCATATGGAAGACAATCCCTGTGGGCATTCTGCTGCAGTATTTAAGAAAATGTCCAAGCCTGTTGGGTTAAACGCACTGTCCAAATCAGCAGGAAAAAAAGCATACCTCGTAACAGTAGGCACCAGAATTAGCACTACCTACAGGCCTTACACAAGCTTCGCTGTCTTTACAAACACTGATCTTTGCCTATGCCTACCTAGCATGAACCATTAAAGCTCAGTCATTTGTATCAGATGACTTTCATTAAAGCCAACCTGACTACTGATGAGATTTTCATGCATCACTTGCAAGGCTTGGACAATTTGCATTAGTGCTCTCAAACACAACTGACTTCTTTCTCAGCCCCCAAACAGACTGTATGCTGACATGTGGCAATGAGAATTACCTTCATGACTACGGGCTCAGCTGCTCATTTGATGCATATACACAGTTTATTGCTTATATAGCACATGTCACGTACTGGCTCAATTAGTAACAGTTCACCTTGAGCACAACTACATTTTTCATGTATGCACATATCTAAAAAAAGTTAATATCCACATGCATGCAGACAAACAGAAAACGCCAGCTAGAGTTTTACACACTTGTCTTCAATTTACACTTGGAAGGTGATATGCTGCGTTGCTTTACCCAGAGGAAATCAGACAGATGAACATTAAACATAGTAAGTTTTTTAGGTACGGAGTCCAAGGGGCTGGGCTCTCCAAGAGAACCAGAGAGCTGCAGAGCTCAGAACCACAGCAAATGAAGAACAGGTGTCACATCTCATGGCATCTCAGCAGCCATCACCTAGTAGGGGGTTTGGACAAGGACAACAGCCACCACCACAGAGGCATACCAAAATCCTCTGCTGCATTTACTACTTGCCTTCAGATTTAAGCTACAAAATAGGAAGGGTGTTTTGCAGAGAACAATTTAAATATAAACTCAATTTGCTCGGAAGCACAGTCCCTCCTATGCACTACAGATGATAATATAACATCATGTAGCTAGACACTGTGTTATCTCATGGCCAAACAAGAAGGCAGAGTAAATGTGGGTAGGCCCTAAGCATGAGGCCCTTCACTTTGCAAACTCGTTATTTGCTTCTTATAGCTTTTGGAGACCATAATTATCAGTACTGGGGACCCTAATTGTGAATACTACTGGAGACATAAAAAGATTGTATGAGTTTACGAACATTTCTAAAAACATAGGAAGAGATGAGAAACAGATACAGAAGAAGCATATACCTGCTGCCACACTGCCATTAAATCCCGTTCCCCTGCATTACACTCCAGGCCCGCACATCCTTCCACTTTCAGAGCTGCAAATCATACACAGCTAGTTCCCCGTTCTGGGTTTCTATCTGGTTTCCAGTGTTAGAGAGAACAAATACTGCAGCACTTGTGATTCTCCTCATCTTTTGATCTTTGCTGGCTTCTCCACTCCCCTCATGCTTCTGCTCCTCCATCCCTGTTGGTTTTAGCAGACCAATAAATCCCACAAAGACCTGAAAAACACTCTGGCTTTCTCCTCGATTAAGAGTGTATTTTGTCTGAATAACATGGATGATATTGAAGCGCCTGCACTCCTGTCCCTCTTTGCCCCTCCAGCACAAACACCATTGGGACCTCCAGCGCATCTGTGTCCCTCCTGCATCCGCAGGGGATGCCATCTGCAGTGCAAGCCTTCACACCCTACTACTGCAGCAGGTGCTAAGATGAACACCAACCCCCAGAGACGCTGCCTCCCAGAACCACAACCTCTCAGGAAACGGTCTGCTACAGCTGTGAGTCTGGCACCCTGCTGAGACCTTACTGCTGCAGGGATGTCCTTGTGAGGCACCTCCTCTGTCACCCCTGCCTGGAAAACGTCAGAGCTTTATCAGTATCTGCACTACTCCAACACAGAGCTCCAGAGGCTGATGCACACATCTGTGGAAGACGTCACGGGCCACAGCCATACCCACGACACCCCTAAAAGATGATAGCTACTGCGATGCTCCTAGCATGTCCGAGGCACCCCTTCTTTTCCTAGCGGTGTACACACCCTCCCTGCGCACTGCTAGTCACAAGATGGCCCGCTGGGAGAGGCTGCTGCCCACGGGCCAGGGAAACAAACCCTTGGGGAGCAACTCCAGCTGCACCTCGCGGAGACCGGCTACAGCCTCAAGCGGTGGCCGCAACAAGAAGGAGGTGGTGGGGTGGGGACCATTCCTCTTGCTTACTCCAGCAGGGCCTGCGAAAGGACACCACGCCTTGCCCTCGAGGGGTGGCGGCCGCCGGGGGCCTGCCTGTCACACCGGGCGGCTTCGCAGGTCGTGCCGCCCCGTCCCCACTCACAGCCCCGCCACCCTCGCCTCGCAGCAGCTGCCCCGCGGCCGGGGCGGCACCACGGAACCTTCCAGACAGCGCCTCGCCTTCTCCGTTCGGCCGGGGAGAGCGCTGCCCCGGCCCGGCCCCGCCCGCCAACCGCCCCACTCTCTCCCGCGGGCCCTACCTGCTCCGCTCCGCTGCCCTCCAGCGGGCCGGGGCCGGGGCCGGGGC